CCAAGAATTCAAATGGCAGGAGCCCCAGTAGACAGCAATTTGTCAGCACTAGCAGTGGCAGAGCAAGGCTAGAATCCACCAGGATGGGCAAATGGACTGAACCCAAACAGAAGGAGACAAGGAGACACCCTTCAAAGCTAAAATCACTCACACAACTTGGTGATCAAGCATGTTTCTCGAGAAAAACTGACCGCACACTGTGAAAGGCAGCCATATGGAAAGGCCAGGCAGTGTGTGAATCAGCCCAGGCACTAGGAAAGCAGCAGTTGACATTAATCAAAAGCTGTCATTAGCCATGCTGAAGAGGACTCATCTCTCACTTGACCTTTTCAGTTATAGCTTCCTGCACATCCAACTTTCTTTCAAACTGGTAGCTTCTCCATTAGGAGCACTTGGTTTCTATGAGGACTGTGCCATTGGATAGCAGGGATTGGCTATCAGCAAGCATTGTTTGAGAAATTAAAGTGACATTATTTTCATTTATGAAGCATATTTTTAAAAATCCTCTAATAAAGTTGATTTTAAAATGGTGGCGCTAGCGGTTAATAACAGTGTTTGCAAACCTTACACCAATACATTGCAATATGTAAATTATATTTTTAAAAAACTGGGATAAACTATTATAACCCAAAAATGGAAGAAAAAAAAACCAACAATGTGGTTTTTATCACACTATTTTATGAGTCCATTTTCTCATTCTTTCTGAAATGGGAAGCTGACATTTGCCCTTGTGTTGAACTTAATCTTTCCAATCTGTAATATGTTAATAAGTAATTTTCCAACCTCATTGTATGTGAAAAAACTATTCATTCTGCAGGGAAGTGAGTCATCACTAGCAGAGACCATTAGGGCAACAGAAGGCTTTCAGTGTCAATAATTAAGCAAAAGCCCCCAGACCCCATAACAATCTTGCTCTTCAGAGAGCCTCAGTAATCCCACATGACCAGAGCATCTAGTTTGTGGCAGACATTCCTATGTTTTAAAAACACATCAAATTCAAGAGTCAAAGAAGACAATTCTTTTGTGAGTGGCTCCATGTAGATTTGTAAATTGCAACCCTTTCAGGGAACAATGGTTTGATTCCACTACTATTCAGGGTTAAAGTCAACTTTGAAAGCTATCAAAGTTAATACTGTCATAAGCTCTCCTAGACAGATTTTTCATACTATGAAATCTCACCAAATATTGCCAAATTTTTACCCACTGTCCAAACTAAGATGGAGCCTGATAATATATAAAAGATTTATCGCTCATCAGCAGGTAAGAAAAATAAATGTCTTGTTACAAATTTAGCTCCAAGGGTAGTCTAATAACACTTTCAAAATGAAATCACCTACTATATCAAAGGGCTCATTTATTGAGAGAAAACAATTTTGTGTTTTGAGTCATACACAACTCCCTAGTTTGGTACTTTTTTAGAACAGACATTTTAATAAAGACCCTGCCTCGTTATCGCTGTATCGTCCACAGCAGCTAACTTGGTGCCTTTGCAGTCCAGGGAGAACAAAGGAACATGCAAACACATTTCTAATATCCTGTATGCTGATTCACAATACAAATCTGATGGTTTCCTGGAAAATGCCTCTTTAAAAAAAAAAAAATGCAAACTTCTGCAATACTTTTAATTATGTACTGTTTATAGAAAATCCAAGTAAAGTTAACATTTTCACATTTAGTTCCTTATTTGGCAGACATGTATTACAAGTATCATCACCCCACTATGTACAACATTATCATCTATAAATTCTCCCAAATGAGAGAAATCTTGTGTCTGCCATAAACTTGGATGCAAGGGGTTCTAAGCCCAAATGCACATGATTTCACCATCAAAATACTTATAATGGTTAAATTGTTAACTAAACCAACAAAAACAAATTAAAGTACACTGGAAGAAAAAAGTGCTGACTGGAAAAAGAGACAAAGAGGTTCCTGTCCCTGCTTAGCCATTAATTTACTGTATGACTTTACCTAACTAGTTAGTCTCTGTGGGCCTCAACTTCCTCATTTTAATAAAAAACTTTAAGGCATTTTCAAACTACACACCAAGTTTCAGCACACGCAGCACTGTGCCAATGACTGATTCACATTCATACTATCATCTTCTTTAAAGTTCACATTTAACAGGTTAATTTTAAATATATGAATATGGATGTCTATCAAAAGCAATTTATTAAAATGTCAGATAAGCTTAAGTTCATTTCAAGTAGAGAACTAAGTCAGGATTTTAAAGCAAGTATTGCTTACAGACTCAAGTTTCACCTAGCCAGCTGCTGCTATTCTTGAGAGAATAGCCTTTCTTTAACAGTGTAGCTGAAAATTACACCTCTACTAATGGAGAAAACTGGTATGGGTGATTTTCTTCATCTCAAAAATGTAAAAACATAGCTTTTTCTTTCTTTTTCTTCCCTATGTTCTATATTATTAAGGTAGAGGAAAGCAGAAAGGCTGGCTGGACTTGGGAGGCAAAGAGAAAAATGAAGAAGTCACAGAGCATACCCAGACAAGTCCCTTTTGGCGCATGTACTGTACTAGAGAAGCCTCCTTCCAATTAGTGTTCACAACCCAAATGAAATAAAGATTTCCTGTGACTGGATGGGAAGAAGTCTGAACAAGTGAGGAACGCCATGTGACAATAGCTAACCTACAGTCTGAAGACTTGCCCTAAAAATTGAGATTCACCCATTCTGGAAAAGGTAATAAAAGTTTTTTACAAACTTTAGATTTGTAAAAAACCTAAGCTTTCCCCCAGCCTTATCTGGTTCTCTTCTGGGTTCTTACAACATCCTATGAATAATTCTGCAAATATTTACACACTTACAAGACCTTATAATCTTTCATTTCCTTTTCTCCCAGAATATACTTAACAACAGAGATTATCTTCAACATTTTCCTTATAGCTAATAGTCACCACACAGATACCTTTGTTTCCTGTGACCTCCCAAGCTTCAACCACTCCCTCCAACTCCCTCCCTATCAACAAGAACACCTAGCAAAGCTGGTAAGCAGACTGCTTCCACAGGGCCCAGCATACAACAGGCGATTAATAACTGTTAGCTGAATGAATGGTGAGTATAGATTAATGAATGATGCAATGCTCATAAATACAGCAATTCACAAGGTATCCAGAATTCTAGGTTAATCTAAATCTGAAATTGATAGTAACTATCTAAATTTTCTCTTTCTGAAGTGTGGTTAGTCAATCTCAATTTCAGAAGCTTGCCCAGAGGCGCACAGCTAATAAGCAGTAGCTTTTCACATTCAGAAATGGTCCCTGGCTGTCTCCTCTCTAAGACAGCTGGCAGAAAATAGGCTTGATTAGGTCTTTTAGAACTGGAATGAGGTGTTTCCCCATTCTGGTTTCCTGTTGTGAAATGTGAGACTTGGAAATCTGTGGGTAACAGGCTAGATCAAGAAAGAAGACTTTGTACTCAAACAATGAACTATGACAAAAGAAGTCTAGCCAAGCACCTTGTAAAAATTTACTGATTCTACTTCCTAGGTCCCAGTACCAGTTTGGGGCTCCTAGCATTAGCCGATGACTCAGAATCCACTTCTAATCATAACTTTTTGAGCCTGTAAGCACACATTCATCAGGTATCAGGTGGACTGAAATAAAAGCCAGAAAAAAAGATCTCGGGTTGCATGCCCACGTGCTGATCTAGTAGTACAACTGCACACAGAGTGCTGAAGGTGGTAAACTCAAAAGAGCCCTTTGAATAATCAATCAAAGGCACACTCAGAGTATGATGCCCAGGCCAATTCTGAAAACAGCAAGCTTCCTTCAATTGTCAAACAAATATTGCTAGCTCCAGTTCAGCCAACAAAAAATCCATAAAGTTAAATGTTCTCAATGTGCTGGGTTTTAAGACAGAACTATATCCACTAGGCAAGACTGGCTGCCCTAAAGATTCAGGCCTCCCTCAGCTCAGGTGAAGCCTCCTTCTATCCCAACTTTTTTTTTTTTTTTTTTTCATTTTGTTCTGGATAGAGTGCAGGAAGACAATATTTGCATATCCTCAACAAGTGCAATTATGAAATATCTCATCATATTGTCACACTGAAGCAAAGGGAGTGAACACAAGGCAGTGAGTGGCTCCCGTGTGGAATAAACGTTCTTAAAATTAGTTGGCACTCCATCCTTAACTCCTACTACTGATAAAAGGTGACACCTATCAAAGTCTATTTTCATAACCTCGTGAGGTGAATCTGAGAGCGGTTTCCGCTCCTCGGTGACACACATCACCCATCCTTCAGCTGAGAGAATCCACAGACATCAGGACCTTGGTTTTATTTTATGGAGTGTAGTCAGTAGCATTAACTGCAGCATTTGGGGGTCCACACAAGGGGGGAACCCCCTTCCTTTGCCAAGATCTCTAAACTCAACAGAGCAAAGCCAGTAATAAGGCTATCCAAACTCCACCACCAATCACCACCACCGTCAAGAGAACTGCACGTGATTTTAATGCCTTACCTTAGCTTAATTTACAGAAAGCGGGGTAGGAGAACCCACAAACCCAGAACCGTAGAAACAAAGATCACCCCACAAAGGCGGCGGCACACTGAAGCCGCAAAGCACATTCCATCAACCTTTCAATGTAGTCGGCTTCCTGTGGGGTTCATTCCCCACCCCTGTCCTCTCCAGAAAGTTTAAGGCTGTTCACACCGACTTTCAAAGGTCCATTGTTTCCTTCCCGAAGAACGTAAAAAAAAGAGAGGAGAGAAAGAAATCAAGAAGTACTTCCCAAAGATACTTAGAGAGAGGGCTTACTCGGGGAAGTCCGGTTACTCCTAACACAGACTGGGGAGAGCCGGCGAAAGGCGGCGTTCAGGGAGGGCGGGAAGGTGCTGCGGGGGGCGGGAAGATGTTTTCCCTCTCTGCAGAAAGCCCGACGCTCAGACCGCCCGGAGCCGGGAAGGTGCGCACCACCCGGTCCGCGTCCTCTCAGCAGCCCCCGGCGGGCAGCGAGGGGGGCGGGGCGGGTGACCCCATTCCTTCTTACCTTCCCCTCCCCCGCTTAGGGACGGTTAACTCAGGTGTCTACACCGCGATCCAAAAAGCGGGAGCCGAGCTCCTGGCGTCCGCTGGTCCGGATCTCCTTTCCATGGCCAGGGAGCCCCTCAAGCCCCGGCGCCCGCCGCCGCTGCCGCTTTTACGCAACTGGCAGCCGCAGCCTCTGCCTGGAGGTGAAACACTCTTGGCCCGGGAGTGACGCGCACGTCTCCCCGCCTCCGCCTCCTCCTTCTCCAGCGCCGAGCCTCGGAGGCCGGGGCCTCGACTCGCTCGTTCCCGCAGCAGCCGCTGGGCTTTCTCCACTCTTTCCCCTCCCTGGAGGAAGAGGAGGAGAATCGCGGCCCCGGCGGCGCTGGTCGAAGTGTCCCGGTGACAATGGGAAGGAGGCTGCGGAGGGGGGCACAGAGGGGTTCCGGGAGTCGCGCTTGTCCCTGGTCGACGGGCGCCGCGCCTCGCTAGGGTCGCGCTCAGCCTCCGCCGGCCAGACAAGCGGCCCGGCTCTGTGGGCCGAGGGCTGCGGATTGGGCTGCCGGCGCGAGAGACGCAGGGGGCGGAGGGAAGGGCGAGGCCTGAGGCCGGAGGAGGCGGTGGACTCCCGGGGCTCCGCCCACCTCCCCGCCCCCTCTCAAGCCCGCTATGCGCAGGCTGCGGACGCGGGCGCCTGGCGCCTGGCGCCCAGCGCGGCGGCGTTGGGGAACCTTCGGCTTGCGCACGACGGGAGAGCCAGGCGCGCTCCACCAGCTTTCTGGGCTGCGGCTGCACGCACATACCCGCCTGGCGCCACAAACACACGGGTCTGGCTGTACCTGAGTGTATCCCATCATCTTGCCACTGAGTCCGACCTTTCCGCACCCCTGAATCCCGGCTGACTGTGACCCGTCACCCCCTCTCTGTTCAGCTTGACCCTGAGTCTCTCTCACCTCCTAGCTTAATCTGACACTGCGCCCCCACCACTTGCAGGTGAACCCGACACTAAGTGCCCATCGCCTCCGGGACGAGCCTGACACTTCATCCCCATCACCCCTGAGCTGAGCTGGGCTTTCTTCGCTCCTGTTAGAGTCCCCTGTTATCCCCTAAGGCACTTCCACAACAGCAAATTTTTTCTGCCGCCGGCCACCGCATCACGGCCGCCCCCACCTGGCCACGGCGGGCGTAGGAGTCTTCGTCCTTTCGAAAGAACCAGTTGCTCTCCACTCAGGACAGCTCCTCTGGCAGCCGGGAGGAGTCCCACCACCCGGCTCTCAAATCAGAATAAATATAGATACTTCTCCCCACGCCCCCTGCTAGCGCCACATCGGAGTGGCTGTCTCCTAGCGGGAGTGGCGCTGAAAGCCACTCCCTTCCCGGTTCCCCCTCTTCCCCACTCCATGCCTGGGTACCTCTCCATGGACGTCCGGACCACCGCTGAATAGCCGCCACCGTCCGGCTGGAGATGCTCTCACTGAGGAAAAGCCTTGGCTTCCACGGAGGGCGCGGCCGGACTTGATCAGTCAGACCCACGAGGTCCCGAGCTAGTGACAGCTGCAAGGTTGCCAAATTCTGGCCTTTAATTCAAAATTGGAAGTTTTCCCGTTAGGGAACCCTTTCCCTGAATACTGTACAGATAGGATTGTTCAGTTTCAGGGTTACTCTCTTTTTGTTTCCCCACCCTTTTAATAAAAATTCAGTCATACAAAATCATGACACATCCAGCAGGGGAATTCCCTATTTTAGGGGTGGGGGTGGGGGTGGGGGAGGGCTAATCGTGAGGGGGGGAAGAGGAGGGAAGGAAAAGGGAGAAGGTTGATTCAGGACTTTGTAGGAATCAAGTCTTCCAGTCTTGGCTGATGATAAGAGTCTCCTGGGGCGTTTTAAAAAAATTGGATTCCCAGATCTTGCACAACTTACCTAGAATATGAAAGCTTGGGAAGCAGTGCTAGAATGCATACTCAAAGTAACTGAAACTTTGGAAAGATGCCCCAAAACAGCAACACGGGCTTGAAGAAACATTCCTTAACGTTGGGAACCTCTTCAGGGCAAGGACAGAAGTTTCTTAAATAAGGCAAATAGCTGTGAGTGACAAACTGGAAAAGACAAATCATAAAATATCTGTGATCTTGCCTTCTAAAAATAGGGCAGGGAATGTGGTATGCTGAAAAATAACCCACCAAAGGTATCAGATCCTAATTAGTAGAACTTATTAAGTGTTCTCTGGAAACAGGATATTTACTGATGTGATTATAGCATGACTCTTAAGTTGGGGGGAGAATTCTGAGGTATCCGGGTATCAACTAGCTGCAAACCCCAGTGTCCTTATAAGAGAGGGGCAGGGAGAAAACTTTACACCATGGGGAGTAGGCAGTGTGATCACAGAAGCAGAGAAGAGTGATGCAGCCACAAATCAAGGAATGCCAACAGCCGCCAGATTCTGGGAGAGGCAAGGAAGGATTCTTCCCTAGAGCTTTCAATGGCATGGTATTTCTGCCCACACCTTGAATACAGCTCAGAGGAAATGATTTAGGGCTGTGGCCTCCAGGAGCATGAGAGAATACATTTCTGTTGTTTTAAGCCACCAAGTTTGTGGTGATGTGTTCCAGCAGTTGCCTCGTGTGCTGTGAGAGCTAACTGACATTAAAAATGCCTACTTTCTAAATCTTTATTAAGGGCCAGGCACTTCGCTTGGATACATAACTTAGGATATGTATAACTTAATTCTGCCAATGACTATTATTCCAATTTCAGAGATGAAGACACAGGGATCAGAAAGTGAAGGAGCCTGGATAAGGTCACCCAGCAGGAGCCAACTGAAATTAAATCTGCTGACCCCTCCAAATTAAAACAACAATTAGAAATTCATATAAACTATATAACAGAAGTTTTGAGTTTAAGACATCTTACTTCCGTGAATTATATCCACTGCCAAAACCAAGGGAAACAAATATGAATAGTGAGGAAGAGCATGCATGCTTGGGTTGAGAATAGTTGACTGTGGCCATTGGGTTGGAGAAAGGACACAGAAAACTAAAATGGAAATATAACTTTCTGTGAATCCAAATCTATCTTGAGTAATGTCTATTTTAAAAAGAGGGGACAACATTGAAACTTTATGTAACCTACCTTTAAAATTTCATAAACTTTTGTTCTTGGACTATTTATCTGGAACGTGAAAAATGAAAGGGAACTCATATGAAAGGAAGTTATAAAGGAGAGGGAACAAATGAAAAGCCAAATGAGGGGCCAGAACATCTCTGGCCTCTGAAAGTGTGCCGCCTACTGGGTTTCTAGGGGAAACAGGCTCTGAGACAGGGTGACAGGATGTTCACTAAGGAATGCCCATGGTTCGGGCGGACAGCTGTGGATGGAGGACCAGGAAACAGGACGGAGCATAGGGATAGGTTGGGTTGCAATGTGGACCTACAAAAGTCTTAGCCAACCCCTTGCAGGTCCTGGTACTAGCCAGTTCCTTCAGAATTATTGTGTCTAATTTGCTCTATCTTTTTTGAGCCTCCTGAATCAGTCTTTGGAGTGGCCTATCCTGGGAGGTGGCCTGACCTTGAGCAAGGTGACTCTGCAGCTGACACAGTCCTTGGAAGGGCCAGCTGTCAACAACACTCAGAACCAGGCAGCATGTCTTCCCTTGCTGGCAGCTCCATGTCACCCACTCAAGTGATATGTGACACCTGCACCATAGGGCTGCTCTTATGAGTAAAAGCCCCTTTATGAGAGTGGGGTATTCATTTGATGTGTTCTTTTTTTTTTTTTTTTTAAGATTTGTTTTATTTATGCATGCAGAGCTGGGGTACAGGCCAGAGGTGTGGTGGGTAAGTAGATTCACCAGAAACAGAGAGGGAAGAAGAACAGGCAGATGTACTGAAACACTGCTGAGAGGAGCAGCGGGCAAGTCAGATGAGGTCTGCCATGCCATGTGGGTCAGTTCCCTGGCCGGGAATCGAACTCATGCTACAGTAGCTTTAGAGAGCTTCATAATGCAGTGCTTTAACCCACTGCACCACCAGGGAGAGCCCTGATGTGCTCTTTTTATCCAAGTTGGTGGCAGTGTTCACAGTCCAGAAGCAGGAGAGCACACTAGTTACGTCAGTTTTGGTCAGTCACTTTCCCCAGATTAGACCCAATATCTGTAACTCACTAGCGATATAATTTTGGACAAGAGGCTCAACCTCACTGTGCTGCAGTTTCTTCACATAAACTTGAAAATATGAAAAATGTACTGGTTATCAGAGGGACGAGATTATCAGTGTAGGAGTTTAGGTGGAGGGAGAGTGAAGCATGTGCATACATGGGAGTGAGAAGGTGTATCTCCAAAATCTTAATGGTTGCATAAATGTCTTATAATAAAATCTGAGAAAAAACAAAGTTGAGAATAGTTGAGTTCAAGGGAGGACACAGAGATGACTAAAACGGAAATTAAATTTACAAATTACCTTCCCCAAAAAACTAATAAGTAAAAGAACTGATTCAAAACAGCAAGAACATGCAAAGACTAGGGAATCATGAAATTCTTACATTTATTAAATTAACCAAGCCACAGTATTCCCCAGAGGTCTGAGCTTCAGAATGAATTTAGTGAATGATTTTGAAAATTAGCATGAATTATACTAATAAATGTTACTAACTCCTCTCTCTGTAAAAAAAAAAAGAATAAGGGCCCTCCCTGGTGGTGCAGCGGGTTTAAAGCACAGCACTGAGAAGCTAAAGCCACTTCAGCATGAGTTTGACCCCCACCCTAGAGGTGACCCACATGGCATGGTAGACCTCTCCTGAACCACCCGCTGCTCCCTTCAGCAGTGTTCTTGTCAGTTCTGCCTGTTCTGCCCTCCACTCTTGTCTCTGGTAAATGCTCTCACTGCCCCTGCACCTCTGGCCTGTACCCCAGTTCTGTATGCATAATAAATAAATCTTTTAAAAAACTAAAATATGCTTTATAATCTACAAAAAATACAGCACTTCATGATCACAAAAAAAATTAGTGGGAATATAATAATAATAATAATAATAAAATAGTAATAATAACTACAGAGTAGTTATGAGAATTAAATATTGCATAAGGCAATGCATAAGGGTTTAGCTGTATATACCTCATAAATTTTCAGCAAACTGTGTTAG